AGTAAATAAAAAACAAACTTTATTCTATATACCCTAAGGATCATTCAGCTCAAGTTTGGTTGGAATTGGTACTGTAGTTTCAGAGGAGAAGATGTTTGAAATAGTTTACACCAGACGGACAACGACAGACGCCAAGTGATGGCAAAAGCTCACCGTTCCTCCTTGAGCTAATAATTAACAGGTAAGAAAACAATAAATCGTCTAAGAATTAGAGAATTTTTTTATCAATTTTGATTCGGAATTGTTAACTCATATAATGATGTCAAAGATTCTACTATTCAGAGTATAACTGTTTAAACAAGCCCAAAGGTAGTAAATACTTCTGAAGATTTAATCAATCAACTAGAGTTTATAATATTCAAAGTATATACATACATTGAACCTGAAAATGCTGTGATCTTAGACAAAAAACTTTCTTTAAAACTTATCATCCTGTGAAAACTTCACTGTTTGCTAAATATAATTTGATTGATTATTCGTGTTTAATGACACTTTCAGCACTCTTGGCTACAACAAGGTAGTCAGTTGTTATTGGTGGAGGAAGTAAGAATCTCCAGAGAGGACCACCAACACTTGACATGAAAAGTGACAATCATAGTCAATCAAGATAGGAGTGGAACGCACCAGCCAAGGGTGAAGTTTGAATTCTTAACCTAATAATTTGCTAATTGTAGACGGGCAAATTACACAGTATATGAACTATTACTATACTCAGCCCCCGAGGCCACACTATTTTATAATTTGCCCAGACTAGTTCCATAACATATAATTAAGATAAGGTTTATGTTCATAATTACTTGAAAAAAAAATTTCACGTATTAACCATAGGAAAAACAGTGCATTCAAACTCATTCTCAAACCATATAAATATAATTATATCTATGAAACAGCTCCTAGATTTTTCACGCCATGAAAAGAATTCTTGAATAAAGTCTTCCCAATTTCCAGGTAAAATATCCAAGGTCTGTTACCCTATAGTAACACATCTAAATCCTTATTCTCTTCATGCTAACAAACTTCATTTTCATAATGTTTTTTTTCTTTAACCAATCCCTAAAGTCTATTTTGCAAATTTGCATTCAAGTATAATAAATCAATTTTCTTTTTTCCTAAATTTGCTAATTCTGTTTTGAATTCTTTAATGCGAGCATCTCCTTTTCATAAATTGTCAAATATGGATTTACTCTCTTCTTTCTTGGTGGCCATATTGCAACTGTCTTAGCGCTAGCAAATACTTTCTTCTTCATCTTACTACCTTCCGTATCTATTATCTTCATCTTACTACCTTTCTTATCTATCGCTAATACCAATTGTCCTTTCTCATTAATCTTTGGCATTATAGATACCTGTTTGATGCCATTCTGGTCTATATATACCTTGCTTCCTTGAGAAGCATTTGTTTTCGTTGTCTTGGATGATGTGTTCGATGTTAACACTTTTATTTGAACATCCTTCATATTAACTGATGATGATGATTTCAATAAGTTCTGGTCATTTAAGGATGAAGATTTGGACTTATTTTGATCAGTAGATATTGACTCCTGATGATTAGAAGATTTTGATTTTTCAGGTTCTCGCCAGTAAGGTAAACTATAGTTATGGTAAAACAAAGGATTATAATAATTTACCACTTTTTTAAATTCATCTTTACTTAGTTGACAGTTTTCCCTTATTTGTTTCAGCAAATGAAGTGGTAACTGTTTGGGAACTAATTGCCCATTAATAACTTGTGTAGCTTTTACAATTAAGTTTGCATTCAAAAAACAATCTTTATCTGATGTATCATTTGATTCTTGTTTAGATAAATTAGAATTTACTAGCTCCTCTTCTGTAGCCGTTCTAACATGTTGTATTTCTGTCAGATAAGGCAAGCTACTATGAATAATACTATAAGTGTCCAAGGCTTTGCCTTTTTGAAGAGGTGTATTATCCAATGTTCCTGCATCGTTTTCTGTTTTTATTGTTGTATCAAATTCCTTTGATGACTTGTTGTCACCTTCCACTAGAGAGTGGGAAGCTGTTTTTTTTCTGGCTGGTCTTTTACCATGTTTACGCTCAGCTGAAAATGTATTTACCATGAGTTAAATGATGAAATATGAAAAATATATGTGTGGTTCCAGTTAACCAACAGACCCTAGTTTAAATCCCTTGACCATAGAACATTTTTTTTGTATTTCTGAAAAAATAAATCTTGAACGATCCAATTTTGTGGAATGTAAACCTCTGTCATCTGAATTTCCATTAGAAGCATCCATTACAGCTTATAATGCAACAACTTCTTAACAAAATACAACATAAAAAGGGAGCTACCATTTGATTTTTATGGGGGGGGGGGGCTAGGATGAAAAGTTTTGCCCTGCATTTTTGTTTAGTTGTAGTCTCTGTCCTGCATTTTTATTTTTCACTCTGTTCGGTCTTGCCTTTTTTTTTATTAGTTTATCCTGACTTTTTTTACATAAATTTTCATCCTACCTTTATTGTTTTGCCAAGTTGCTCATCCTGCCTTTTTTTTTACTCAAAACTCCTGTCCTGCCTTTTTTTCAAATTTCATTCTAGCCCCCCCCCCCCCCATACAAATAAAATTTTCACCAAAATTTAACATGAATTTTTCAAAAAAAAACCAAAAAACTAGATGTGTGTGAATAACATGAATGGCCCGTCTCAAAAAGTTGAAAAATTTGTAATTTCAACAACACATGCGGACACAGAAAATGCATGGATAGTATCTAGCTCTCAAGACCAATACTAGTTTGATGAAAAATTTCCTTGATCAATGAGAAGTGAAATTTCAAACTATCAGCAAACAGGAAGTGGATGTACTGCAGATCTAACAAGATGTGTTGAAACGACATGAAAATCAGCATAGTAGAACAAAACATAAACTTGATCTGTAACTCATCATGACAGACTTACATATAAAAAATCAGTGCAAAATCTGAAGGCGTATAGAAAAAAAGTATGTTTAACTGTGGTTTTCAAAGTCCAAAAATTTTGGCAAAAATTGGCAGAGCAGAACGAAACTTTAACTCAATCTGTAACACATCATGGTTAACACACATACCAAAAATCAGCCAAATATTTAAAGGCTTTAAAAAAATGTTCTGAAAACAATAATTTTCAACATTTTATGTCCAAAGCCCTTAATTTTGGCAAAAATTAGCAGAGCGGAACAAAACAAAAACTTGATCTGTAACTCATCATGGGTAACTCACTTACCAAAAGTCCAATATCTAAAAGTGTTTATAAAAAAATTGCATATAATGGTTTGTTGTGGATTGACGGAACGACTGAATGAAGGAAAAGGGTAAAACTTTGTTGCAGGGACATAAAAATGGGTATTTTTCCTAATTTTATTTGAAATTGAAAATTTGGATGTTATTTGAGTAAATTTATTTAAAAAATTCATGTAATCTTCATGTGAGTTTTAAATGAGATTCACATGAAATCGATTCAGGTGTGTTTCATGTGAATCTCTATTCAGGCGAGTGAAATTTCCCTGGGTAGGTTACCTTTATAGCAGGTTTAACTATACCATGACCTTACCTGTATAACTATAACCTAAGTTTAGCAGTTCACAAGACTTTCGTCCTCGTCGACAGAAATTTATGTGTTTAGCTGTAATAAATAAATTAATTTGCAATTGAAGTGCATCATATAGAAGATAATATTTTGCATTTCAAAGTATATTTATTTAAAACAATTGTGAAATGGTTAAACTTATTATTTATTTGATGATATTTCAAAAACAATTTATGCAGTTGGATTGCAAGCTTCCTCTGATATGAAAAGTTTGAAAAAAAATTATGCAATTGGAATTAATTTTGGTTCATTTATATGTTTCGTAGTTTAGTGTGACATCCATTTTTGCTGAACTAGTACACATTTTTGTTTAGGGGCCAGCTAAAGCCCGCCTTCCGGTGCTGGATTTTCTAGCTGTGTTGAAGACCCATTGGCATTTCTATCTACTTTTAGCTACTCATATCAACTTAAAACTTGTTTGACATATACATTGTTTGCTACAGATGATTTTTTTCTTTAAATTTGTAACTTTGCAGAAGATCTATGATTTTCTCTATAGGTTTGCTTTAGCAAGCTATTTCATTTTACTAGAAATGGCAAGTATTTTGGATGTAAAATAAATTATAATTTGAAAGTATTTTTAGATGTGTAATGAAGCAGTTTGTTTTTACCTGCAAATTTTGATGTGTACAGCACCGTTTGTTTTTTTGTAAATCGTTTTATAAATTCCTCGTTATTTTAGCATATGCACACACCATAGTTTGACCAAAAGTGGCAGAATAATCAGTAATGATCGCAAGCACCAAACGGTAGAAGCAGAATCAGAGCAATGTTGGCAATTATCTGCTGTTTCATACAATTTTGATGAAATTACTTATATGAATGTAATTAATACGCAAGAGAGAATGTAATACCATTTTTTTCAATTCTGTTAAATATGTTGGTGTGCATAATATAGTGCTTTAAGGATTATGTACCCTTGTGTTGATTCAATGATTTAATGCTTTGACTGATTGACGGAAAAAAACTTACCACAAAAATAGATTTGTTTCCTGTTCCTAGCTTATTGAGTGAGGTTTCCCGAGACTAAGAAATGATCTTCATTAGATGTTCATTCCACTGCATATGTGCCTACTGCACGGTAGCTCTGCTCTGCATACATATAAATCTCGCGATAATGAAATTAACGAAAAAAACTACCAGTGACAGAAGATTGCCGACATTGCTCTGTATCAATTTTACATATATTTTCTTTCATACCAGATACATCCAACTATAATTTTCTATGCATTTTAGATTCATTTTATTACAAATACATCCCATTTAACAATCTGCCTAATTTTTTAAACAGATTGACCAGATTTTACTATTGATGAGTTATTTGATCATTGGTTTCCATTTTTCAATACAAATTTGTGTTCATTTATATTGTTATGTATGCAAATTATGCACTCAAATCAAAATCTATATATAAACCTTACCCATTTTATTGCCTTCAATATGAACAAAGCCACAGGCACACTCCATGAACCTTGAAGAACATGGAACAAATTTATTGGAAGCTCTGTTTTTTGTTCCATGCCTATTAATCATGTGTTCTATATAAGCCCGTGAACACAACGAGGAATAGTTGCATTTTGTACATTTTAATATTTTTCTGAAATATAAAATAATGTTAAGTATAAATAATGTGATGGCTTTCAGTAAAAATTTGCAAGTTCATAATTCATGTTTGAATCTCAAAAGATAAACGATTTGAGATGTAGCTTTTATAGTAAATAGTTATTTCATGCTTAAGAAATAGCATTTGAAGAAATTGTTGGTTATCCTTCGTAATTGGCTGAAATTGTTTAAAATCATGTACAATCATATAAGTTCATGTTCCTATTGAAACATTACTGAACAAAGATTGATAAAGGGAGACTACTTTCAGTACCTTAACTACCTACCTAAAATGTTCTTCTCTGATAACTTTATTACATTCTATGCATTCCATCCCATAGAGTTCATCTGGAAACTCTAAATTTAGTTTAATCTCTGCATACTTGAACTTCAATTTAGTTTTATATACAACTTCGTCTTTCTTTTTCCTTTTCCGGAGCTGTTCCCTGACTTCTGCATTGAAAATTTGTAAAAAAAAATACATAAGCATATCTGTGATTATAGGTGTAATACCACCATTGATTTTCCCCTATTAGTCTTTGTAAAATTTGGACTTTTAAAAAATTGTGCAGAATTTATCTTTCTTTCAAATAAAGAAATACTTGGCATGAGTAAAGTTGTATCCTTCCAGTACTATAGACAAAATTTCACATAACATGTCATTGCATATAAGAAAATAACCATCACTGAAAGTTACCCAATCAAATTTTCACCTCTTTTTTACCCGTGTGCAAGCTTTAGTAACCATGTAACATCAAGTTTCCAAAATATTCTATAGAAACCCCAAATAAAAAAATAATGGTGCTGTGAAATACCCAAGATATATGTTTATGACTCAGAATTTTTTTACTGCAATGAAATGTAGAATAAATTACCTACAACTGTCAAATTCACGGGAATATTTTTTTACGATCCTTTTGCGTATGCAACCGGGTGTGACGTACTATATTCATAAAAACAAATGTTTAATTTACTATCAAAAGTTATATATAGAGAACACTCAACATAATTCTACACAAAAATCACTTGAAATTGTGCTTTATCACAGTAAATGCTGCAGCTGATTCGGGGCTGTTTCATTTAAATATTTCGCTGTATATTTAATAGATATAGGAAGGTCTGGATGGGGGTCCTTCATTTCTTATTTCTTTAACCTGTAAACTTTGTAGACAATTTTCTCTATTCATTATATAATCATGATAATTTGTGCACTTTGTTCTGCCTTTGTGCCTTTTATTTTTCATTTTGTACACCCAATCCAGACCCTCATATATAGTATGATGGAGAAATACATTAAGAGTGTTAACATCCCCTATCATTAGATATCATCTGGGTTCACTGATGTTTATTCAATGCAAGCAACAGTGCATTTTAGATATAAATTAATAGTACATAAACTGTTGACACAGAGATAATGTCTTGCCTCTATATTTATTTTGATAGTATAATAAAATGTTGAAATTTTGTAATGGCAATACTTTAAAATATAATTTATGCAAAACATTCAAAGACAATGAACCTTGATTGAAGGTGCAGGGCTGAAAAACCTCCATGGAAATTAAAAATGCCAATGCTAATACAACTAAATACCAAATACCATTTACTAATTATCATAAGAGGTTCCCTTGAAAACTGACCTCAACACAAACTGTAACATGTAAACTACTAAAAAGTTTCAAAGTCAATGAACCATGACTTGGGGGGATGGACCATATAATCTCCATGGAAATGAGATGTCCCTAATCACAAAGTAATAAATAATTAACGCTGTGGTAATCACTGAAGCTTGAAATAGCACCCTAAAAGATTAGTATATTTTCTATTTTGTTTCAGGAGTCTATTTTGTAAGCAGAAACAAAATTCTAAGATTATCTTCCCTGGTAAACTGTTATACTCCTATTCTTTTTAAATTCAGTATTCTTTAAGGGCCATCTTTGATATATGTTTGTTTATGTTCTTATTCAATGTTGTGCTCATCATGTCACACCATGCAATGCTCAAAGTGACTGAAGATAGATGATTGCCCTAGACACAGTAAAAGTCGTCTGGAGCCTGTAGTTCAGTGGTTGTCGTCGGTTTATGTCTGTGATATTTGTTTTTCAGATTTTTTTTTTAAAATTAGGCCGTTGGTTTTCTCGTTCAAATTGTTTCTCATTTTTTTTTATGTCAGGGCCTTTTATAGCCGACCACATTGTATGGGTTTTCTCATTGTTGAAGGCCATATGATTGTCTATAATTGCTTACATCCACGTCATTTGAACTCTTGTGGTTAATTGTCACATTGGCAATCATACCATATTTGCTTATTTTCATATAGATACAGTAAATTAATTTGATGTACATTTAAAGAATGGTTTAATGATAAATTTCAATCGACAGGATAGTATATCATCAAAATATTATCAAAACTGAAGGTGGAATACTCTTTTTATTTGAAAACAAAAACTTTTACAAAAGTTGCTACTGCTATTAAAACTAAATTTATAAATAGCTGTATCATGAGAGCATGATACACACTTATTTAGTATATATATATATATTGAAATTGTTACCTGAATAAAATGGGATATTAAGAAGGCATTTAATCCGAAACAAATAAAATTGCTTAAAAGAAAAATATGCATGAGTATACACTTCGATATTTAAATATTACACCAAATATAACTTTTAAAAGTCCCGTAACTCTTAAATGGCAAACCATAAAATTTTTCAAAATCAAAAGCAAGTCTATTTTGACCAATCCCAACAACACAATTGAACAGTGTTAAGTTTGAAGTAATTTGATCCAAGCAAACTAGAGCTTATGCATGAAATTTACAAAATAACATTTATTTGTCTGATGGTCAAAGTCCAATAAATCTGGAAGGACCTATCAGATTTATTTCTAAATGTTACAGTGTATTATATTCATTAATTAACAGTAACAGTAAAGTTTCCAGCAAATCAATCCAAACAAAATTAAAATTAAGGAATGACATTTGAAAAATGTTATCATTTAATCAATCCCAGCATACTGGAGTCTGTGAGAAGTGAATAATTGCCTTAAATCAAAGATTAAAGTCCTGTAACTCTGAAGCGACTAAGCTATAGGTTACCAAATCAAAAGAGAGCTTTCAGTTAGCGGTATATATATACTTAAGTTGTGGTAAAATTATACAAAAATTAGTTAAAGCAATTTTGATTTATCCTATGAACCATGATGAAGTGTTGACAGATGGGCAGATATATGGACAGACAATGGTATACAATAACATGAACGGTCTTTGATGGGAATATAATAAAAATTCTGAAGATAAATACTTAATCTTACAAACCTTTGGAACAATGCTCAGCAATGATATGATTTTGTTTTTTATATTTTTGCGAAGCACCACTAAATACCATTCCACAAAAATCACATCTTTCTTTAGGAATTTTGCGTTTTGAACATAACTGAATTTTCTCTTCACCTAAAACTAATAAAGAATATTAGCACCAATGAGATATATTGCCAAAATGCACATGTAGTGCAGTAAAATTGGTATCATTAATGTTACTACCTTTGTTTTATTTTGGTACCATTAATGTTATTACCTTTGTTTTTTTTTTTTTTAGTATCATTAATGTTATTACCTTTGTTTGTTTTTTTTGGTACCATTAATGTTATTATCTTTGTTTTTTTGGTACCATTAATGTTATTACCTTTGTTTTTTTTTTGTATCATTAATGTTATTACTTTTGTTTTATTTTGGTACCATTAATGTTATTATCTTTGTTTTTTTTTTTTTTAGTATCATTAATGTTATTACCTTTGTTTGTTTTATTTTGGTACCATTAATGTTATTACCTTTGTTTTTTTTTTTTAGTATCATTAATGTTATTACCTTTGTATGTTTTTTTTTGGTACCATTAATGTTATTATCTTTGTTTTTTTGGTACCATTAATATTATAACCTTTGTTTTTTTTGGTGTCATTAATGTTATTTATTACCTTTGGTTTTTTTTTTAGTATCATTAATGTTATTACCTTTGTTTTTTGGTATCATTAATGTTATAACCTTTCTTTGTTTTATTTTGGTACCATTAATGTTATTACCTTTGTTTTGTTTTTTTTAGTATCATTAATGTTATTACCTTTGTTTGTTTTTTTTGGTACCATTAATGTTATTATCTTAGTTTTTTTGGTACCATTAATGTTATTATCTTTGTTTTTTTTTTGGTATCATTAATGTTATTACTTTTGTTTTATTTTGGTACCATTAATGTTATTATCTTTGTTTTTTTTTTTTTTAGTATCATTAATGTTATTACCTTTGTTTGTTTTATTTTGGTACCATTAATGTTATTACCTTTGTTTTTTTTTTTTTTAGTATCATTAATGTTATTACCTTTGTATGTTTTTTTTGGTACCATTAATGTTATTATCTTTGTTTTTTTGGTACCATTAATATTATAACCTTTGTTTTTTTTTGTGTCATTAATGTTATTTATTACCTTTGTTTTTTTTTTTAGTATCACTAATGTTATTACCTTTGTTTTTTGGTATCATTAATGTTATAACCTTTGTTTTTTTGGTATCATTAATGTTATAACCTTTGTTTTTTTTGGTACCATTAATCATGTAATGTTATTACCTTTGTTTTTTGTGGTACCATTAATGTTATTACCTTTGTTTTTTTTTGGTACCATTAATGTTATTACCTTTGTTCTCTATCTACTATTTTTAATCTGTTTTATTCCATATGCATTTATTTTAACCATGTTACTTTGTTCTGCATAGAATTTTTACAAATAATAACACAAATATGAGAGCGATTATTGTTGATATCAATAGCCTGTCAACACTTGAGTTAGCAAATTCTAACCCCAAACATGGCAGATGTATTTGACTCCAATCTTAATTGACTAGGATAGTCAGTTTTCCTGCCGAAAGTGGGTGGTTCTCTCCAGGTACTAAAGCTTCCTCCATCGACAAAAAATTGGCCACAGCAAAACAGCAAATAGTGCTGAAAGTGGCATTAAACACAAATAAATTATTCAATCAATATTACTGTTGTTATTGATTCCTTCTTTCATTTTCATATCATTTTGATTAAATGCATAGTCATAAAATCCTCAAATGTTTAAGCTAAGAAGTCATTACCTGAAGCAGTTTTGGTAGTTTTTGTCTTCTTGGATTTTGTTGGCTTGCGTACATTATTTCCAAAAGTATCACATCCTGGGCAGCACCTATTAAAACTACATATACCAGCTTTCCATTTAGCTTCCTGTACTTTCTTTTTCTTTGCCTTTTGTATATTTTTGTCAAGTAAACCTGAAAAAATACAAAAATAAAGTAAATCCATTAAACAAAACAACAACTCATTGTACATATAACCTTCAACAGAAACACTAATTAATCAAAGTGCTTGTAAGCACTGTAGGGTAAAGATTGCTTTAATCTATCAGTGGGAAATGCAATAAAATATTGCATTGTATATAGCATCGATTCTAGTTGATTCAACTACAATTCTGGATAAAGGAAGATAACTCCAATTTTTAAAGATGACTTTTAACTATTTAAAGAACAGATATTAGATTTCTGAACCTTGCAAAAGTTTTGTAATTTTCTTGACAAGCATAACATCATTTTGTAACTTGAATATCTAGGCATATATTTTATTGATAAATTTCTGGAATTTTTCATAGATAGGATGTATAGAATGATAAATAATTAATGCCCTATATTTTGTGTATCTCAAAGGTAGTGAGATATCAAGTCAGTACCTTCAGTCAGGGGTACTACTTGTACAGGTAATTTTTATTTACTTGAAGAAGTAAATATTAATATACTTATATAAGTAAATTTGTAGGATACTTATACAAGTGTATTTTATTTCCTTGTATAGGTAAATTATTTTTTGGCCTAGTTATGTCCCTTAGACATTCAGATTTTTTTATTTATACAAGTAAAAAAATCATCCTATCTTCTTTTCTGGAATTCTTAGAACTTCTTTGCTCTAACAGAATTTTGAATTGTCTGTCCTTTGCAGATGTCTTTTCTTATCATTTAAGTGTAATTTCATGGATAATGAAAATCTCATTTGTCTGTTATCTTAAGAACACTGCTCATTTACAAGCCCCCAAGGAGCAATTTTTGAAGGCCTTGCACAAATACTTAAGATCTTTGCACAATCAGTTTCTTTGTTGAATTAATGAGATGAAACATTGAACTCTTATAAAGAATTATGAGCTAACCTGAGAAAAATTGTTAAAGGCATGATTTTACATCTCAAAACTTAAGAATTTTTGTGGGATTGTAAAAAAAATTTACTTGTATTAAGAAAATTAAGGGGAGATTATTCAAACATTATAATTGACTTATATTAGTAAATTTTATTTACTTCTTCAAGTAAATAAAGATTACTTGTACAAGTGGTACCCCTGACTGACCTTAGGGTTTTGAATGCAATCCATGCAATCTTTACCCAAAAATTGCCATCGAAAGGTGATTACTTCTCTAAGGCATGTTGTTGTTGTTTTGGTAAATAAATCTCATCTGATAAAAAAACATGCCTTTAGTAAATGATATTTACATGAAATTAGGACCAGAAAATACTTTTATTACTTTTAATCTTAATAGATCTTGTGTTGCTGATCATTATAGCTCTTTATAGCGTCTGTCTATCTATTATTTGTTTTCAAGATAAGAAGCAGCTATAGGCTCCAAGGAGCCTGAATAACTAATCTGATAAAATAGACTTTATTGAAATTAATTTCATTACTTTTATAATCTTGCAGTCTGCATCGTTTGCCACTAGTCTGATGCCCCAGACTAGTAAATATTGATTCGGACTAGAGAAAATTTACAAAATTTTATATAGTCATATAGGGACAAGTTTTGATATTGAGTTTCCGGACTAGTAGATGAAAAAGTTTTGGACGCAGACTGAATCTTGTATTTCTGTCAGATCAATTTTGTTTTTTACAGTGTCAGTCTACCTTTTATAGTTTTCAAAATAAAAGACCAAAATTGCTTTAATCATCTAAGAGCAATAACTCCTATAAGGCATAAACTTTTCATTTTAGTGGTATTTGCATTTTAGTAGATCTCGTATTACTAATAACTTTCTGTATATCTTCAAGTAACATGAGTAAATAGGTGCAACAATACTAAAATCGTAATATAAGGGCAAAACTTCAAACATTGTCAAAGAATCATATCTTATAATTTTAGTACAAATTATGGAAAGTAGGTTCTAAAATTAAATCCTAAAGTTCTAAAAGTAACTCCTAAAATTCTGAACATATTCACCCTGTTAACATGGTTCATGTGGTTAGGATTTTATCTATCAATTACCGTTTTCAGTATTTTATAACTACTGTCATATTACCAATATGTTCTATTTTAGCAGCCATGTACATGTAATATCGGTTAATGGACCATACTATAATTCTCAAACTATTTTATAGATACCCTTAATATCTATTCTCTTGAACATGTTGAATGGGCTTTTTTTGTTTGGACAGTTTGGAGGAAAAGTTAACAACAGCTAATGGACAAAATGGTCACAAAGGGAAAGCAGAGCATATAATAAAAATGATTACACCCATCAGTACCAAAATTAAAAGAATATTAACACGATTAACATTACTTTGCGTATTTTCTTGTTCCTTCATTGTCTCCATAACAAATGGAAGCATTCCAATATCCCACTCCTGGCAATTTTCCTGACCTTCCTCAACATGATCATGTGCAGGAATAAACGATTGAGTTGATGATCCTGGCATTGACTGGTCAGGAATAGTGTTCACATTGTGTGTTATTCTGAACAATTCTGACTCGGACATAATCTTATTATTCTGAATGTTTACATTGTCAGTATGTGAACCATACAAGTCTATGTCAGACTGAACTGTTTGGTAACTGTCGTATGGAATAGATTCTAATAATTCTGTGGTTCCATCAGGTAATTCAACTTTAACAGTGACCAAATCATTTGAAATGTTGCTCTCTGATCCATTATGGTAATTCTTTTGACTTCTAGTGTCAGTTTGAGCAGTGTTGTAACTGTTATTGTTATATAATGTTATAGGGGAAATAACTCCGCCTAACTCATTGCTCTCCGATACATCATTGGAATCCTGATGGCATTTAGCATCTGTCACATGATCTGTGAAAACAGTGCTATAGCTGTTATATGATGGAAAAGGGGAAACAACTCTGTTTAATTCATTATTCTCTGATGACACCATCTCAGGGCCTATTTCAACATATTGAACGGTTTCAAAACTATTTTCCTCGTTTCTAGTTAATCTTATACCATCAGTTTGAACAGTGTTGTAACTGTTGTCAATATACGATGTTATAGGGGAAACAACTCCTGATAATTCATTGCTCTCAGATGACACCATCTCAGAGCCAATTCCAACATACTGACTTGTTTCAAAACTATTTTCTTCTTCTTCATCTATTCTTATATCATGTTCTGTGTTACAATTTCCTTCTATATCTATTTTTTCAAAACTATTTTCTTCTTCTCCATTTATTTGTATGCATTGTTCTTTGGCCAAATGTTCATCTACATCAATTTCTAACTCTAAATCAATATGTTCATTCTTAAAAATGTCTTGTGTAGTGCCATTATTCAAATCTCCATCAAAGTGATTGCCATCCTCAGGAATAGTAACTGACCAATAAGAATCATGAATTGTTCCAGTTCCTATGACAACACCACTATCAGCTTCTTCAACAGTAAACTCCTCAGGTTTTGTAGAAGCCAATGTTTTCTTTCTCAATGACTTTACATGCTGAAGCTTAAAATACAAAAAATAAATAATAAAATAAACACCAAGCCCATTTCAATTTTTTATAGTTTTTCTTATGTCGTACTGTTACATCACCATGACCACTGTCCCAGGTTAGGGGAGGATTTGGCGCCAGCAAACATGTTTAACACCACCACATTCTGCATGTGCCTGCCCCATTTTCAGGAGTCTGTAATTCAGTGGTTGTTGTTTGCTGTTGTATATCACATGTAATATTTGTTTTTCGTTGATTGTTTTGTACATAAATTAGATCGTTAGTTTTCTCGTTTGAATTGTTTTACTTATTAGTCATTTTCCTGGCCTTTTATAGCATACCATTTGGTATGAGTTAAACTCATTGTTGGATGGTGAATGTGACACATAGGATTTGGCCCAAGCAAACATGTTTAACCCCACCACATTCTGCATGTGCCTGTCCCATTTTCAGGAGTCTGTAATTAAGTGGTTGTAGTTTGCTGCTGTATATCATATTTGATTTTCGTTTATTGTTTTGTACATAAATCAGGCCATTAGTTTTCTCGTTTGAATTGTTTTACATTAGTAATTTTCTGGCCTTTTATAGAATACTAATTGGTATATGAGTTTAACTCATTGTTGAAGGGCGAACGTGGCAAATAAATCTAGTGAGCAAAGTGAAAGATTTGGTTATATTCTAATTGTCTTGTATAAATACTGAAAGACGAATATGGTTCTGTAAATTCCGAAATTATTGCATGCATTTATAGTTGCGATTTTTTAATAAACTGTTATCACAGAGCTATGTCTCGCCTTTTTGTAATTTTGATAATGCAAATGTTGAAATTAAAATAGCAATACTTTAACATGTAAGTTATGCAAATATTCAAAGTCGATGAACCATGACTGAAGGTACATGGCTAAACAATCTCCATGGAATGAGATGTGCCTATGCTAATACAACTGCATACCAAATACCATTGACTTATTATAAGTCGTTCCCTTTAAACAAACCTAAACACAAACATTAACTTGTAAACTATGTAAAAGTTTCAAAGTCAATGAACCATGATCAGGGGTGGGGCTATATAATCTCCATTGAAATGATACTTGCAAATGCCAATGAATTTGCATACCAAATATCATTGACTTAACATTAGCAGTTCATCTTAAACTGATCTTATCACAAACTAATACATGTAAAATAAGCAAAAGTTTCAAAGTAAATAGACCATGACTGAGGGGGCGGGCCAAATATTCTCCATGGAAATGAGATGTGTTAATGCTTATACAACTGAACACCAATTAACATTGGCCTACCACTAATGGTTTCCCTTGAACTGACCTAATCACAAACTAATAAATGTAAACTTAGCAAAATTTTCAAAGTCTGTAGACCATGACTAAGGGGGCGGAGCCAAATAATCTCCATTGAAATGAGATATGCCAATGCTTATACAACTGCATACCAAAATATCATTGACCTACCACTAGTGGTTCCCCATAAATTGACCTAATCACAAACTAATACATGTAAACTATGAAAAGTTTCAAAGTCAATAGACCTTGACTGAGGGGGCGGGGCCAAATAATCTCCATGGTAATGAGATGTGGCAATGCTAATACAACTAAAATTGAGAATGGAAATGGGGAATGGGTCAAAGAGACAACAACTCGACCAAAGAGCAGACAACAGCCGAAGGCAACCAATGTGTCTTCAATGCAGCAAGAAACTCCCGCACCCGGAGGAGTCCGTCAGCTGGCCCCTAAACAAATATGTATACTAGTTCAGTGATAATGGACGTCATACTAAACTCCAAATTATACACAAGAAACTAAAATTAAAAATGATACAAGACTAACAAAGGCCAGAGGCTCCTGACTTGGGACAGGCGCAAAAATGCGGCGGGTTAAACATGTTTTTTGATATCTCAACCCTCCCCCTATACCTCTAGCCAATGTAGAAAAATCAAACGTACAACAGTACGCACAGTAAAACTCAGTTCATGAGAAGTCCGAGTCCGATGTCAGAATAGGAAACAAAAGAAAATAAACAAAATGACAATAATACATAAATAACAACAGACTACTAGCAGTTACTGACATGCCAGCTTCAGACCTTAATTAAACTGATTGAAAGATTATGTCTTCATCAATATCAGGCACAATCCCTCCTGTTAGGGGTTTAGTATTATACCTTCATAAAATATATGAGAAGAACATAACCCGTGGCATACCAAATATCATTGACCTACCACTAGTGGTTCACCATGAACTAGAACTAATCACAAACTAATACATTGTTGATACTGCCGCCAGAAACAGCATACCTATGTCTCGCTTTTTGACTCCGTCAAGGCGAGACAAAAATGGATAAAAATGTGAGGTTAATTATTGTGATTGTAGAAAAATATGAATCAACCGTCGTACACAAGCATCGCACAAGTTGGCACTCCAAGGCGGGTGGAGAGCAGGAAGGTGAACTGTGGTTTATTTTTATCAATAGTACTGCTTAAGTCGAAGCTAGGGGCCGTCTTGACCATGTTGTATGAATGATTCTTTCATTGTTGAAGACCCTACATCAACTGTCAAGATGAAGAACAGGAATAAAAGCCTTCTTCATTGATAATTTTCTATGTTTTCTATGTATTGTGTGTGATTTTGTCCCATGTACATTTACTCCATATCCTTTTGTTTTCTATCTATTCAATTATATGTATCGACTTCAGAATGTTAGTTTATATTATTGCGATACCCACTCAGTCACATAATCATGATAATTTGCATTTAACAATAAAAACCTCACAAAAGTTTCAAAATTTACAGTACATTAAACTTTGGATGTCATTTGGTTTTGCATAATCTTGTATAGGGGTTGTTTTATCTCTGACACTCTGTGCTTCAAAAAGTTGTAGCTGGCAAAAGCCATTTTAATGCATTTAAGAGTATTGGTTTTCATCGTCATATTTTGTTCATAACCCAAAATTTAGCTATTTTTATATTGGTCTGTGGATTAATAATTTTTATTGGATATCAATTTTCCTGGATTATGTAGGTTAAGGTAAACAAGGATTTAAGGATGTTCCCTCCTCTTGTTTTTGAATTTTTGCCAGATATTCGGAATCCTCTGGTTTTATCCATGTAGTGCCATTAAAAAATTTCGCCCAATAACCATGATAACCCCTACTTTTCTTTTTATAATTTGATTAAATATAGTTTAAAATGCCATATTTGAAAATCCTATAAAATCCTTATTTATTCATAGTTTTTGAAAGAAAAAAGGTGTCAATGTTAAAGGTATGAAAAGTCTAGAGAGAATCATTTCCTGCCAAATTTTCAGTGGCTTATATCTCAAAAACAAGCACACGGACCCGAAATTTTTTTCTGCTTTTAAAGTTCCTCTATTTATATACTATCAATTTATAACAGTCTTTTAAAAAGCTTGTTATTTTGAAGGAGAGTAGCGAACATCTTTAAATTGTTCAACAAAGTGCATAATTTCTATAAGCATGTGTATATGCAGAAAAAAACAATGGAGTCAAATTTTTGGTAAATGTCTTTTCATTTATTCCATAAAAATTTGGTACATGCACCCTACAAAATAATGTGATTGTACATGTTCTACACATAAAACTTAAAATTGCCTTAAACAATCTGATATACAAAATATATATATACTTGTTGGAGTCGGTGGGATCAAAAATAAATTCCTAGTCTATTATATTAAATGTTACAAAGTTAATGTACATATATTCAAAGCAAAATATATGAAGGATCAGAGACTCTTGTCCATGTTATTATCTCATTATGGAAACATGGTTAAAGAATTTGAAGAAAACCATTTAAGAGTGTCATTGAAATTTCACAAAAAATGTTCATTCCTTGAGACTTTTTTTGTCTAAAATGCTAAGTTTTCCTCCTTTGAATATTTTGTCACTCCATTGATAAGAACATGGGGTTGTCAACTGAAATAAAAGTTTTTGACCTTGACCTTTCACCTAGGAAGTTGTACATACATTATGACACACCCTCTGGTGTTGGTTAATACACATGTCAAGTATAAAGTATGAAATTATAACGGTTCTCTAGATATAGAGCAGACACAATTTGTTACGGACGGACGGACGGACGGACGGACAGACTGATCACTATAGGGGGACCCGCTATTCGGCGGGGCCCTAATAAAAATGCCTGTATGGTAAATATCTAATTTAAGTGAGAATTTACCTGCTTTATTGCCCTTCGTTTTCTGTGATAAGGAAGAGTCCAGCAATTTCTTTTCAATTTTGGCATCCTAAAAATAACAAAAACAAAAGTTTTATATAAACAAAATCACATTCATTGGATTGTTGATCGATTGATTATTGTTTGCTTAATGTCCAGTGGCAAATATTCCAAGCATATTCAGGACAATATATATAACAAGTTGACAATCAATACAAAAGATAGGTCCTGCAAGAAAGTAAATCTACTGGCCAGGGATGATTGACTGGAATTTAAAAAATGCCACTAAAAAATAGACTATATTATAGGACAAAAAATTTAGCATTGCAACAGACCACCTGTGGTAAGGGTTTTTTAAAATGCAGAGTGTTGCATTCTTAGAAAAAGTACAGTGACAATCACAACCCTATTCTGATAATATGTAGCTGTATATTTATCTATCCTGCTAAGTCACAAGATGTAGCTGTATATTTATCCATCCTGGTAAGTCACAAGATGTAGCTGTATATTTATCCATCCTGCTTAGTCACAAGATGTAGCTGTATATTTATCCATCCTGCAAAGTCACAAGATGTAGCTGTATATTTATCCATCCTGCTAAGTCACAAGATGTAGCTGTATATTTATCCATCCTGCTAAGTCAAACAGAAGCCCCACTTCGGCAAGAGTTTGAAGGTTGGTTGGAAGAAGACCAAGGGATGACCATATTACTATACCCCAGTCAACCCTTGGAGAAACAGATTAATGTCAGCTATGTACAGCTTGTTTCTGAATCCTACTATTATACTTAATTCTGTATGATGAAATAATTGTAATGATGACGCATAAATATGTATAAACTTATATTAATTTAAATTATTATTTGTTTATAATCTTTATGTTTAGTGATTATGGTGATGGTGGTTTGAAATTAAATTAGAACAGTTTGTGTTATTCTAACTTATTTCTTGAAGTATATATCATTAATTAATCATTTGAGCAAAGTTTGAAACCAATCATGATTATACAACATGTACAAAGAGATTTATATTTTTTCATTTGATTTTTTTTTATCAAAGTTTCTATTTTTAGAAATGATGACGGCCATCTTGGTTGGTCGATGGGATCATCAGACATATTTCTCCAAATAGCCTCAGTCAAATCAAGATTTATTTTTTTCAGCTGTATCTCCACATTATCGTAACATTGGAGTGTCTGTAAGTTGGCAAGCTCATCAGTTACAATGTACATCATGCACATGTAAAGGTCTCTTTCTGAACATTTTTTTTGCCCTTTAGTAGATATTCAAATTCCTGTGCAAACTGTAAATATAAAATATTTCCTACTATAGTGTTATTAACTGACTGTTTCTGTATTGGCCCTGTTATAGATTCAAGGTTAGCTGTATTGGACTAAGAGACTTGAAGAGTCGAGGGCAAATACAGCTGATCAGGAATCTATATAAGGGCAAATACAGATAAAGCCAGTTCATAACACTTTTATTAAATGATTTTAATTTTTCAATTAAACTAGGCAACTTACCATGAAGAAGATAAAGAAATTCATATCTGAACTTGTCTTTCGGCATTCACATTCAACAGTGTCATGATTGTCAGATGCAATTCTGATTTCTCTTCCAAGTAATTAATCTTATGCTATTACAATTCAGTTTATCTATCAAATATGAAGTAGACGGGAAGAATAAATCAGATAGTTTAACTACTCTTACTCTTGAATCGTCTGCGCTTTGATGATTGATCAACGGAAATGAAACAGTGATAATACCTGAAAGTCGTACTTTAAAAGGATGTGAAATATTTCCATTGCAAGACTTTACAACAAACTGAACATCATTTAAACTTTTTTTTATGATATAAAGTTAAATAATATATGATACAAATGTATTTTATGCATAACGATACATCAAAAGTTTAGTAAACTTAGGCGCAAGAAAGTGAATGGACTGGAAGTGAATGTCTGGTATTAACCCATGCTCCTATACAGAAAAAGGCGTATGGCCCTGTCGGAAAAGCAATATCAACTCTTGATTTATATCGACAGGGCAACGTCATCAGTATTGCAAATGCTGATTTATCCGTATTAGGGCTGATTTGCTCATATCATTTAATAATTAAAGTTTATAGTATTTTCTAGTTTTAGAATCAGTACTATTTACCTGACTAATATCCTTAGAAATGATTTTCTGTCTTCAACATGTTCAAGGACATGAGATCATGATGATAAAGATGTACCAATAAAAACTAAAGATAATGAAGATATCTTGGAATGATGAAACCTGAAAATAAAAAAAATAAAACATATTACAGCTTTCAAACTAAAATTTTGTTCACATCATTAAACATGTCAAATGCATGGATCAAGGGACAACAAAGTCTCTTATCTTTCTGTTCATACATGTACATTTTGTAGAAGCTTAACAATTTATCAACTGACATTTATGGTGTTAGTCTTACTGGTAATTTTATAAAGAATAATGAGGCCACTGTTAGGCAGTGGAGCTTGTGGTTAAGCCTTTAGTGAAGACTGTCACTGTTTTTAAACATATTCAACAGATAGAGTTGAAATCATCCCTTAGAAAATTTAACGGACACCATCACAAGTTGATTGACCACTATGGAATATCTGTTTCACAGATGACGACAGATATGTTCCTTCTGTTCTTACCACAATCCTGTCCAATTTTCCTTGATTAAGACTCATCATTGGTGTGTACTTTATTACATGAACAACAGGAAGGGCACCAAATGTGGAGCAGGATCTGCTTACACTTCTGGCACACCTGATGTAACTACCCATTTTTGGTGGGTTTCATGTTTCTCAGTCTTTAGATTCTTATGTTGTGTTTTGCATTTTGTTTTGTGAACTGTTGTTTTTTTTCCTTGTTTTTTGTTTTTTATTTTTTGCCATGGCATTATCAGTTTGTTTTTTCGACTTATGAGTTTTAATATTCCTTTTGACATGTTTGAATATCTCGTCTCTCTCTTGTACAATTTAATACATGTAGTATTGTAGACTGCAATAATGTCATCTATAACATTGACTTGAATGGCCTCTGGTAAGAAATGGTTTAAAATTTAAATCACATTGCCATTTTTAACATCTTCTACTTAAAAATTACTTATAACCGGTCCGTTTAGTCGGTTCAGGTAACATGGATTAATATGATTAATCTTGTAACTTTAAATGTGCAGACACTCCACAATAAAATGCTCCGCAGGGCACAGCTTGATACGACCGCAGAGGTCGAACCCTGAACAGTTGGGGCAAGTATGGACACAACATTCAAACTTGATACAGCTCTGAATTTGGATTGTGATTAAATATTTGACACAGCATAGGTTTCTGACACAGAATGAATGTGGTCTAAGAACTTAAAAATTTTAAATTGGACATTCACCTATTATGGTCCAATATCCAAAATCTAAATACATGGTTAGATTCAGCAGATCAAAGAACCCCAAGAATTCAATTTTTGATGAAATCAAACAAAGTTTAATTTTGGACCCTTTTGACCTCAATGTGGACAAAGTTGATAACGGCGCCCAAAAATCAAAAATCTAAATACATGGTTAGATTCAGCATATCAAAGAACCCCATATATTCAATTTTTGTTGAAATCAAACAAAGTTTAATTTTGGACCCCGATTTGTACCAACCTGAAAACTGGACCCATAATCAAAAATCTAAATACATGTTTAGATTCAGCATATCAAAGAACCCTAAAAATTCAATTTTTGTTAAAATCAAACTAAGTTTAATTTTGGACCCTTTGGACCTTAATGTAGACCAATTTGAAAACGGAACCAAAAATTAAGAATCTAAATACACGGTTAGATTCGGCATATCAAAGAACCCCAATAACTCAATTTTTGATGAAATCAAACAAAGTTAAATTTTGGACCCTTTGGACCTCAATGTGGACCAATTTAAAAACGGGGCCCAAAATCCAAAAACTTAATACACGGTTAGATTCAGCATATTAAAGAACCCCAAGAATTCAAGATTAAAACCCCATTGAAATTGATCATGAACTAAGCAATTTATACGAAGTATCTTCTTTTGCACAATACCGTGCAATTGAATATTTCTTGCTATTGCGCAATACTGTACAATTGACAATTTCTTGCTATTGCGCAATATTGTGCTATTGGATATTTCTTGCTATTGCGCAATACTGTGCAATTGAAGATTTCTTGCTATTGCGCAATACTGTGCAATTAAAAATTTCTTGCTATTGTGCAATACTGTGCAATTGAAAATTTCTTGCTATTGCACAATACTTATTATATAATAATTTACACATCCTGTTTGGTGTGTATCTCCTACCATATCATTATTATTTGCTTTTAAATATAAATCAGAAATAACCAACTTAAAATGGAAAATTTTAAAAGAAAAAAAAAGGAAAAAAAGAAAAAAAAAAGAAAAAAAAAAAATCCCCCCCCAAAATTTTTTGAACCCCCTTATGATTCATCACCCCCAAACTCAATCCCAGCCTTCCCTTTGTAGTATGGTACCTTGCAGTACAATTTCAGAGAGATCCATACACTTGAACACAAGTTATTGTCTGGAAACTAGAAAAATGCTTATTTTTGGCCCCTTTTTGGCCCCGAATTCCTAAACGTTTCTGGCAATTACCCCCAAACTCAATTCCAGCTTTTCCTTTGTGATATGGAACCTTGTAGTACAATTTCAGAAATATCCAAACACTTACACACAAGTTATTGTCATGAAACTAGAAAAATGCTTGTTTTTTGCCCCTTTTTTGGCCCCTAATTCCTAAAATTTTGAAGCAATTACCCCCAAAATCAATTACAGCCTTCCCTTTGTGATATGGAACCTTGTGGTACAATGTCAGAGAGATCCATACACTTACACACAAGTTATTGTCTGGAAGTTACAAAAATGCTTATTTTTGGCCCCTTTTTGGCCCTTAATTCCTTAACTGTTGGTACCATAACCCCCAAAATCAATCCCAACCTTCCTTTCGTGGTATTGAACCTTATGGTAAAATTTCATGGAGATCCATTCACTTAAACTAAAGTTAGAGTGCGAAAACCAATGTGTCTTCGGACGACGACGACGACGCCAACGTCATACCAATATACAACAAAAAAAATTTTTTAATTTTTGCGGTCGTATAAAAACCTACTGTACACATATTCAATATACTGCATTTGGATTTACTGTGGACTGAAATCCATCCCCAATTATATACATAACTACATGTTAATGTTGCTTTTGACTTTAGAATAATTATTTTTATGTGTAACAAATCAAAAACTTACAGTCTAGTTTATAAAAATACAATTTACATGATACACAAAAAACAAATATGACAAAAATGAACCAATGATAACATTACATGTATGTAAATAGATATAAGAAGATGTGGTATGAGTGCCAAGTACATTTGATTAAATACAAAATGATGACTTGAATTTGGAAGTGACAAAACTTCTATCAATTAAACATCAAGCCCAATGATATTATATATGAGACATTATGGGACTCTCAACACCCAATATGTGCAATATATATATTCAGAATTTTTAAAGTCTCAGTAAACTTTCCACGTACAAGATTTCTTATCCTACCAAAAATAATATCCTAGATAATCCTCACTAATTTGTCAATTTTTTTTTACATACATGTGACGTACATTAACTTTATTTTTTGTAAGCAAAAGTTAATCAACCAAAGGTTTTTAATCTTCTAGTATAAATAAATAGTTATGTGGTTATATGATGATTAATATTGTCAATGAGACAGTCATCATGATTGCATTTTTTGTTTATGCTATAAGCACAAAAATTAATTATTATATGGCAACTATATGATTAATTTTAGGAATAACAGTAATAACTAGTCCTGTAGTTCACTGTTGGAGTTCATGTCGTCAATAGAGAATTTGATGGTAGCAGAAACAGTAAAACTGAGATTTTTCCAGGGGTTTGAATACCCCCTTTATTTTGACGATCAATGCTTTTGAATGGGGACATATGGTTGGAACCCCTCTTTTAAAAAAGGCTGGATCCGCCCCTAGCCACATCAAAATTGACAGCAATAACTCTTCACCTCTTGGGTTCAAATCTGGATAAAATCACATTAAAAAGATATTTTTTAAGTAATAACATGTCAACTGTGGATTAAATGGCAACTTTTAACCTATGAAAAAGGCACTGGCTACGATTATGTTGAAATTTAACAATAACAAAAAAGGTATTGTTACATTGGACACTGAAGTTGCTGGAATGCTAGGTTCGGTTGGGTTTGGAACTGATTAATTACGAACGTAATAATAATAGCTGTGTCTACAGTTATGTTGTGTTATTGTAACCTTCGGTTAATGCACAGTTTCAATTTATGCTGGGACTAGTAATATGTATTAAAATACAACTTGAAAACTTTTATTTGTAAACACTGTAATTGTACAATATATTGCATACATTTTATTAATTTAATTTACAATGGCAGCTTCTACATATATAGCACATTTGCATGTTTTGTAGTATGTGCTAGGAGGAGGGTTGGAACCTTCAAAATAGTTAAACCCTGCAACATTCTGTATTTGCCTGTCTCAAGTCATGAGCCTGTAATAGACTTTTTTCATATTACCAACTTTTGACTCCGGATTATATAATTTTTTCAACAGGTTACTTTTTCTGTGGTTATAGACATCCTGGTTCTCCGCCAAGTAAGAGCAACCAAAATAAGTAAAATCAGACATTATAACGGTGTAATTTGAGGGGAAAGTTTACTGTTTCCTGATGATTTTAATTTGTCGTGTACAGAAAGTGTAAAGCAGTTTACTTTCCCCAAAAATTGTACCGATTGAAAGCTTGGTTTTTCTTCTTTACCTTGCTCTTACCTGACTTGGTACCAGGATGTCATACCACAGAAAAGGTAACCTGTCGAAAAATTATATAATCCAGAGTCAAAAGTCGGTAATATGAAAATAGTCTATTCAGTGGTTGTTGTTTGTTGCTGTGTGTCATATAAATTTGTTTTTTGTTCATTATTTTGTACATAAATTAGGCAGTTAGTTTTTATCTTTTGAATTGTTTTACATTTGTCACTTCAGGGCTTTTTAAAGCACACTTTGTGGTATGGGCTTTGCTCATCATTGAAGGCCGTACAGTGATCTATAGTTGTTAATTTCTGTGTCATTTGGTCTCTAGTGGAGAGTTGTCTCATAGGCAATCATACCACATCTTCTTATAATTTTGATATTTTGGGGCATGTTTTAGTCCCGACATATATTTGGTGAAACCC